GCTGTAGAGGGCAGTGTCACTGGCCCTCGTATGTGGGATCCGAACCGGGGCCCTCTGGCGTCCCAAGCCAGTTCTTAACCATCGCGCCACTCGGCCGACCCCAGTCTTCAATTCTTAACACTCTTAGCTGACTACATAGCTAAAGTTATTTTTATACAGGCTTAGCATACCATTTCAAAATGTAGCAAAATTAATTTTTATAGATGTATTTTCTTCAATCAGATAAAATTTCAGTGGGTAGATGGCTCACTGAAATTATATATACATGAACACATACTACTTGATAATTATGATCCTGGCTTAATTTGATCAATTCTAGTTCGGAGATAGGGGAAAGAAAAGCTTGAGCTACAGAGTCGAAGGGCTAAATACTTTTTCTTTAATTCCAAATTATACAAAAAATTTCAATTACCTAAAAAAACCAGAAATTAAAAGATAGGAATCATATTTTGTTTTATAATGTACATAATAAAATGTTGGTAAACACTAATATTAGCATGTAAAAATAACGTAAGCCAGGCCAATTATATTGAACTTTAATTGCATGGTTCATTATCTCTATTAACTCTATTACCTATAAATCCATTATCTCTATTAGTAAAGTTCTAGTTAGTTGCCCCCACCCAGTACCATCTGTCTTTGGATCAAGGCTATGAAATAAGATAATTTTTAAAAATTATTACAACTTACCATTTATAGATATACAACCACAATAATAACAAAGATAGGTCATTCTATATCCTTTTTGAAGCTTACCTCTTTGTAGCACTTTTCTACAATTTCATAACTGGCATTACCCCACACTGTTATGTGTTCTCGTCTGTACTGCTTCACCAACTCTGAAACCTAGAAAGGAAAGTTCAAATTTTTATGCACGTGCCTATTTGTAAATCTACTTACATTTTTTTCACTTTAAAAAACGGGTTACAATTGACTATCTGCCAGTGAATAGCATAAACTTTTGGAAGAAGCGATGCATAAATTCAGATTATTTTATAAGATACATGGAATCACTTACATTTTTCCATTATATTATTTATCTACTAGAATACAACTCTTTAGTAATTTGTCATAAGCTAACTACCAATGAAGCAAGTTAAAGGAGAAGTTAATTGTGTAAATGCAGAACTATTGTTTCACAGGAGCTCACTGTTATCCATGACTGAGACAGGACAACTCACTCTGAACAGAGGCTTTTCTGCAGGAAAGTGATCTCTTCTACCAGGGAGGGCATTATTTAAAACAATGCGGATCCCTCGAGTATCACATTTCCTTGAACATTATCGATCGGCAGCCACCTACTCTGGCCTTATTTAGTTTGTGAAATCGGACGCAACACACTCAGGGGAGGCAATGCCTTAAGTACCTTCTTAATCAGCACACTGTTGTTGACTTTGATATCGATGTTAATGGGAGTGTTAGGGAAGGCCTCAAAAACTTCTTTCAGTAATGGAATTCGGTTATCTTTTCCTTCGCATTGGCATGCTGAGAAAGCAAGATTTTTAAATGTATTTTTAAAAGGTAATTTTCACTTTTTTGATGATTAGAAAAGTTAAAGTATGTAGTCATAATAGGACATTTACAAAATGATTAAAAGTATAAAGAAGAAGAAAATCATCCAACAACTTAGATATAACCATTGGGACCCTCTGGTGTACTTTCTCTACTCTTTTTTTTTTTCCCCCTATGCATAATTCAATAGTGTTATAGTGTACCTACAGATTTTAACCTGATCTTTTTTACATAAATATAAATATTGCATGTTAATACACTGCATTTATAATTATGATTTAAAAGTTTTTTGTTAAACTTTTTAAGATGATTCTTAAATTCACATGCAGTTCTAAGAAATAATACACAGAGATCTGTGCACCCTTTCCCCAGATTCCCCAATGGTAACCTCTTGCAAAACTATAATACAATATCATAACCATGATATTGACATTGATATAATCTGATTTTATTCTATAATTATTATTTTTAAAGTTTTTAAAATACTCCATTGAGTAGCGATACAACAATTTAACTATTTTAATTTAACCATTCTCCTTGAAGGGAACCAGTGGTTTACCACTCTAAAATATGCCACTTTGGCACAAGGATTATTTTGAACTCAAAGCAATTGAGAAGAAGCAGATACAAAAAAAGCTCTCTGCCCTCCCCCTATTTGCCTATAAACGAGACTTAAATTTATACAAAAATCAATCACCAACAACCCTGGACGCTTATCAGCACCAGAAGACTACATAACTACTGACGAGCCTTTATTTTCCATTATTCCCCCATATATATTTACCTTCCCACAATTTGCCACCCTAGAAACTCACTCCTTTGTCTTGTCACTTTTCTGAACATTTATTGGTTTTATTGTTAACATTTATTTGTTGTTAAGATGCTATATAAACTCTGGTTCCAGCCATCCCCGAGTTTCTCCCATGATGCATACATATTAATAAATAAACTTCTATTTGTTTTTCTCTTGTTAATCTCTCTTTGTTATAGAACCCCAGCTGAGACGTTGTACCCTACTAGTGGATACTGAGATTGTTCCTAAAGTTTTGCTCTGATATCATCATTGAACTTTTCAGAGACTGAGAAAAATATTCAGGCAAGAGAAATACATGCTAATTAAGTAATGTGTTGAAGAATTATATTAATGCAATTGAATTCAAAGAAAACTGAGTCATAAAATAATTAGAAGAGGATTTAATCATTCTTTGTTACATGAGGATTATTTTCTTTCTTCTTTCCCTAGTCCCTTTTGCCTCTAATCATTTATATAATTTACTATACATATTATGTAACTATTATAAAATTTCCTCTTCCATCTAAAACTTCAATTCTACTAATCTGTGAATAATAAAATGGTGAAAGATCCTTTATTTCATCCTTGTTGTACAGCAAATCAAAACAAAGAAGCATATCAAAAAAGCAAATTAAATCCATGTCAGAACATTAATTACAATAATGGCTCATGTGAAAAGCCACAGTGAAGGAAAAAAAACCGGAAGTATGTTACTGTTTTGTCTGTTTGGTTTTCTATTCCTATTGCCTTTTTCCTACTCCTTGTAATTCAGATAGGGCTCTTATGGGACTGTCAATCATTTGGCTGTCTCCCCGGACAAGGAGAGAGCACATGACCCTTCCAGCATAACAATATGGACACTAGAAGTCTCCTGAAATCCTCAGCAAAATGAATAATGCATTATTGATGTTCTCAGAGGTCCATCTTTATGTGGAGAAGGTGTGCCTAAGAACAAAGCTAACATAAATGAAAGCGGAAAGAAGAAGTGGAGATAGAGACCAATTATTGCTTGAGCAACTGGAATCAATCATGTCTGAAGGCATACAATCTCTAGACTTTTTAGTTATGAGAACCAATAAATTCTTTAAAAATGTTTTTTGAACTATCTTGAGATGGATTTCTAGCACTTATAACTGAAAGAGTTTAGGCTTATCATAGACTATAAAACTGAACTACAAAAATTAGTTGTGTTAATATACTGGGCTGTCAACAAGACCCACTTCCCATTCACTCTCATGGTAGCATATGACCTAGGTCTGACCAATCATAATTGCTTATCTCTGTCCACAGTAAATATTTCAAGATGGACACATGACCCAAGCTGGGCCAATCAGTGTCTTTTTCTAGAATTTCTCCCTTGAAGCTCACTGGTGAGACTGCCTTTTTCCGTGGGGTCACAGCACAGGCAGGATGTGAATTTATAGTTGTCAGTGATCATGTTCTCTGCCACATGGACAAAATCCATTTACAGTACAAGAGGATAAGCCCAAGAGAAGCAGAACCACTGAACAAAGCAAAAAGAGTCCTTTTTAGACCCCTAGATCCAATCATGTTTAATGTAGAATACACCATCATCCTAGACAATTAATGATAAAATAAATCTCTTTTTTTCCCTTAAGCTAGTATAAACTGGTTTCTGTTTCTCATAACCTAAAAAGTCTGAACATTATGCTCTAGTACGCATAGTTCAATATGGTAGCTGCTAGCTGCACAGGGCTATTTAAATTAAAATCAAATAAAATTAAAAACTCAGTTCCTCAGGTGCACTAGCCACATTTCAAATGCTCAATAGTCACATGTGGCTATTGGCTATCCTATTGGACAGTGTAAAAAAAAATACTGATATCACTACTGAAAGTTCTGTTTAGATGGTGTTATCTTAACTAAACATTTTGTTAACTTGTTAAGTGTGGAAAAATTACTTTAGCAGTCAAAAGAGTTGCCATGGGCAATAGCTCTTCACACCCAAGTAAAACATATGAAAGGATCAACTTAGAAAAGGGTTAAACAGACAAAACTAACTTTGGAACAGCAAAATGATAAATTATACAAGAACAATATTGCATCACACAGTGGGGGAAACAAGGAAATTAAACTGTGCTAAGAAATAAGTGTGCTAACATGATGTGAAGGTATTTAAATTAGATGCTCCCGCCAGCACAGAATGTAGAAAAAGAGTTGGAGAAAGTTTGTCCCCAGTCTTGTTCCAGGCAGAGGATAACCTCTTTCCCTACAAAAAAGGGAAAGAGGAAACAGGAAAACAAGAATGCTAGAAACTAATATAATATTGAATGTCAGCTGTAATGAAAAAATAAAATAAATAAAAGAATGCTAGTATACTCGAGGATGTGCTGCGTCGCCTTTATGGCATGCTAGTTTAAAACTGATTATTACTGTCAACTCCAGATTATCCAAATTATTATTTTCCATGAAAAAAGACCACTTTCAATAAGCAGGGTAAACAAACCTTTTGATTAACACACGTTTATGTTCCTTCATTTTAATGTAACCTGTGGCACATCAGAGCATCTTTAAAAGAAAACACTGCTTCTCCATTAAGTTTGTGAACCACAGAGAAAAACAGAGACCTGATATTTGTATTGCTCTGAGAGTTGATGGTTCCTCCCTCCCTCCCTCTCTCTCTCTCTCTCTCTCTCTCTCTCTCTCTCTCTCTCTCTCTCTCTCTCTCTCTCTCTCTCTCTCTCTCTCTCTCTCTCTCTCTCTCTCTCTCTCGTTCTCTCTCTCTCTAGTATTTAAAGAAAAGCAAGCAAGAGTTCTGAGCAGAGGAATAGAATAGAAAAGAACTGAACAATCTTTGCCTAAATCAAGTTTTTGGTCATACTATGTATTAGTCTGTTTCAAGTACTGTAAACTTCACATTTGAGGCACAGACTTAATCATAGTATGAGTTGAAAGCAATATGAACTAAAGTTAATGATTCTTTACAGTTGTCCGAAACTTGAGAGTACATGGCATTGCTATTAATAAGGCCTTGCAGAGGCTCTTCAAATGGAGGTGCAATATGGTGAATACTGAATAGAGCTGAATACTGGCCTGGGCGAGGAGGAGTCCTAGTTTCAAATCCTAGCTCGGTCATTTACTTGCTGTGATGAACTTGACCTTAATCAAGTTAATTTACATCTTTAGACTTGTTTCCTTATACATAACATGATGAGAAAGAATTAAATGGTCTCAAAGGTCTCTTCACACTCAAAAGTTTCATGACTTTATGAGGGGGGTATAAAAGCCATAAAAAAAAAAAAACCAACATTTTTTTTTTTCTCAAAAGATCTTTCAATCTTTGTGAAGCTTGGCTTTGCTCTATGAAGGAGAAAACAGGAACAACTTCACTTATGAAATTTTCTTAACCATCACAAGTGCAGAATTGACACAAATATTAGAATAACTTGGCAAATATTGTCCTATTAATTACAAGAATGAAAAATGTGTTTCCTCAAACCAACACAGCTTAATGATGCTTACCTGGAAGGCAAAATCAACAAATTATCAGATCTTAATATCCCTTAGAGATGGCTAAGTTAAACAATTTTCTGATCAAGGTGAAATTATACTGGCCAATTTTAAATCTAGTTCACAGGGCAGTTGCAGTTCTTTTTGAAAATTAGTATCAATAGATCCTTGACATTTAACCAAGGTTTTAACTATTATACATGCAAGCCGTAACATGTAGCACCTTGTGGTTTTACTGAGTTACATTTGAATCATTCAACATATAAGGCTGAATTGTGGTAGTGAGGGAGTCTATACCTACTCAGCAATCTGTATCTCAAGATGATGTATTTTCCATTCTAACATGTTCCATTCTATAACTAACAAATTGGGCTAAGGGACATGTTTTGTTGTGAGAAATGTTCCCTTAAAAGAAAGAAAACTGCTATGCTGGTGACTAAAAAGTGAAGATATGTAGGAAATGGATGGTATTTCGAGTATTAGAATTCTCTTTAATAATTAAAAATATGGAGTAGCGGGAAGATAGAATCAAATGTGAAAGACTCAGTAAGGACATGAAAGGGGTCATTTTAATGTCTTTTCATTTATCGATTTATTTAATTTATGATTACTTCAAGTTATAATTATATTCTAGAATTTGAAGCTTTAGAAGTACAAAATATCCCTAATAATATCTGGGTTTCTTGTCATTAGTATTCAGGTTTAAATTAACTGTATATAAATTTAAATAGAAAGAGCCAATTAAATCTCTAGACTTCATCATTTCAGGGTCAAGGTTTCAGATTTGTAGGCCTGAGAGAATAAGTTCTGAGAGCAGTACTTTTAGCTGGAATTTACTATGACAAGAGAACATGCATGTATATCAAATTATCAGCATAAATGAATACACTTTAATGTAAAGGGTTAAGCTGCAAATGGGAAATATTACCTCTTTGAAATGTGACATCCAGTTTGCCAAGGTAAGGTGGGAGTTCCTTTAAAAGATATGATTGCAAACAAGTTAGCTCTCAAAAAAATCAAAATTATTTTAATGTCTTACATTAAGATATAAAGATTTGCTTCTTCAAAAAATAAAAGAATGAAACACTACATATGTTTACATAGGGCACCGTTTAGCAGAACATCCCCAACAGCAAATCAATCATATAATTACTTAATTTCATAACCTACAAGAAAGTACTACTTAATATGGACCTTTTCTCAATAATAAATATACAAACATCTCGGTATCAAGAATAGACAATTCAAAGAAAAAAATGACTAAAAATCATACAGAAAATCTTTAAACTCACAAATAATCAAATAAATGCCAATTAATATTTAATCTAGCGAATTAGGAAATGTTTGGTACAGTTATAATGCCCAATAATGGTAAGAGTATGGCAAAGTGAGAATTATTCTAATATCAGATTTTAGAACTCTTTTAAACAATGTAAAAAGCAAGTTAGCAATAGCAACTTTCAATATATATTAAGAAACTATAATATTTCTAATATTTTAGCCAATAATTTCCCTGCTGGGATTTTATTTAGAGAAATAATTTTAAATACAGAGATAACTTTTTCTTTATATAAGTACTTTTAATAAATACAAATATCTTTATAAGTATATATTTGTATCTTTTTTTTTTTTAAAGATTTTTATTGGGGAATTGGGGGGATGGGAACAGCGCTGGGGAATTGGGGGAAGGGGAACAGACAAGTCGCTGTCGTTTTGTTCTTCAGTCTAGTTGTGGAGGACGTTGCTTCACTGGCCCAAGTTGGCACCATCATTGCGCTCTTTCCGGGCGAGGCAGATCAGTCGCTGGCTTCTGGATGGCCGCTCACTGCGGTTGCTGGCCGCTCATGCTGGCTGCTGGCTACATACGGTAGCCCGTGGCAACCCACTGCCACAGAGACTGCAGCCTACGCCTTCACCAGCGACTCACGGCAGCCCAGCTCCAGGTTGAGCTGTTGTTCAGCATCTTAGCTGTGGAGGGCAGTGTCACTGGCCCTCATATGTGGGATCCAAACCGCGGCCCTCTGGCGTCCCAGGCCAGTTCTTAACCATCGTGCCACTCGGCCGGCCCTATATTTGTATCTTTTAAATAACTTTATATAAGCACATAAATATAGAGAAAACTTTACGCATAAAGGTGTTCAGTGCAGTGTTATCAATAATGGTGAAAACTCAGAACTAATTCAAATGTCCAACAGTACAGGACTAGTTAAAAATAATTATATATCCACTCAATGGAATAACTGCACTCATTTTCTTTTGAAATGTTCATGAAAAATAAGCGTGGAATCTGAAAAGCCTAAATACTGTGCAATTCTCACTATATGGCATTCTAGAAAAGGCAAAACTATGAAGACAGTAAAAAGATCGGTGGGGGCCGGCAGAGTGGTGCATTGGTTAAGAGCTGGCTTGGGACGCCAGAGGGCCCCAGTTCGGATCCCACATATGAGGGCCAGTGACACTGTCCTCTACAGCTAAGATGCTGAACAACAGCTCAACCTGGAGCTGGGCTGCTGTGAGTCGCTGGTGACGGCGTATGCTGCAGCCCCTGCTGCAGTGGGTTGCCATGGGCTACCATGTGTAGCCAGCGGCCAGCAGCCAGCATGAGCGGCCAACAGCCGCCATAAGCAGTGTCCAGAAGCCGGCGACTGATCTGCCTCGCCCGGAAAGAGTGCAATGATGATGCCAACTTGGGCCAGTGAAGCAGCGTCCTCCACAACTAGACAAAAGGACAGCAACTTGTCTGTTCCCCTTCCCCAATTCCCCAGCGCTGTTCCCATCCCCCAATTCCCCAATAAAAAATCTTAAAAAAAAAAAGATCGGTGGTTGTCAGGCATCAAAGGGGCAGGAAGGATGAATAGTCAGAGCACAGAGGATTTTTAAGGCAGTGCAACTATTCTGTATGGCAGTGTAATAGTGGATGCATGTCATTATACATGTGTGAAAACCTATGGAATGTACAACACCAAGTGTGAACCCTAATGTAAACTATGGACTTTGGGTGATGATGATCTATCAATGTAGGTTCATCAACTGTAACAAATGCACCCTCTGGGGGGGGATGTGGACAGTCGGGAGAGGCTGTGCCTGTGTGGGGTCAGAGGGTATGTGGAAATTCTCTGTACTTTCTTGCTCAATTTTGCTGTAAACCTATAACTGCTCTAAAAACTAAAGTCTATCAAAAAAAGAGAAAGCACAGAAAAATGTGTATTGTGCAAAAATGTTAAAAGTGTTTAAAAATAACATATACATAATATACAGTGGGATCACAACTATGTAAAAAAATACAGGATATACATACAGATAATATCCTAACGTAAGTTTTCTTTAGAAAGTAAAATTGAGCATTTTTCCTTCCATTTACTAGTCTTTATTATAATAAGCATGTAAACTATTAAAATCAGATTTTAAAAAGGTCCTTTCTATTCTTGGAAACTAAATCTAATTCATATATTTAATCTGAATCAAATAAATTATAGAGTACTTCAAGCAAGTTGGACTCTAGTAGGTGTACATTTGAGGACTTTGGTAATTTTGTTAAAATACTTATAAAAATAAGGCTCCATATATGTATGAAGTTAAGTACATCCTCACTGAAATGCAGAGTTTTTAAAAATTTCCTTTCACATTCATTATGTAATTTATCATTATCATTTATTTTTAAATTATGTATTGAAGTACTATCTGGCATTCACTGTTTTTAAAAATCTTACAGGCCCTAATATCTACTAGATATTAGTTTATCATGCATTTTTACTTACACAATACTTGAGATCGGAGATGTTTACATTGATCCCAGTTGATCTCTTTAGATTCTCATCGTGTGACACAACAACTTGTTCATCTTTTGTGATATGGCAGTCTAATTCCAGCATATCAGTTCCAATTGTAACTGCACTAAAGAAATACAAATAATAATAACATTCTGAAACTTAAGCAAACATTTAGGTTTACATGCATCAGATGTAAAAATTTGGAATTGTAACTCAGACAGCAAAAAAAATCCCATAATACTAAAATTTCTCAATACTGTCATCTATTATGATTTGATGTGAAAATAGTCTAAATGAACTTAGGACAAGAGAATCATGTTGCCTCCTTTTCATAACCAGTTATCCTTATTTCTGCCATCCTAATATAATGGAAAGAACACTGGATCAGAAGTTAAGAGATCTGGGTGTCAGTTCCTGCTTTGTTACGAACTTGCTGTATAACACTGGGCCAAGTAAATGCCCCTTCTGGGCCTACATTTCCACATCTATAAAATGAAAGGAGTATAAACAAGAAAAGGATGCTAGCTTTTGCCACGGTAATTCAACACAGGATTAGAGATTCTAGCCAGTACAATTAAGCAAGGAAAAAAAAGGGGGAAGGCATATATCCAAGTTGGAAAGGAAATCATGAAACAATGCCATTTACAATAGCATCACAAAAGAATAAAAACAATTAGTATAGGCAGAGTAAATTTAGCATAATTCTTTGGGGCCCTAGGATTTTTAACATTGTAAATGAGCATTGGCTTCAACTGTATTAGCCCCTAACAAGAGAGTCAGCCTGTCCTTTGAAGCTTTGAAGCCAGGCATTGACTTCTCTCTAGCTGTGCAAGTCCTAAACGGCATCTTTTCCCAATATGAGGCTGTTTTGTCTACATTGAAAATGTTGTTCGCTGTAGCCACCTTCATTAATGATCTTAGCTAGATCTTCTGGGTAACTTGCTGCAGCTTCTCTATCAGCATGTGCTGCTTCACCTTGCATTTTTATGTTATAAAGATGGCTTCTTTCCTTAAACCTCAGGAACCAACCTCTGCTGGCTTCAAACTTCATATGCAGCTTCCTAACCTCTCTCAGCCTTCGAGTTAGGGCCTTGTTCTGGATCAGGCTTTGGCTTAGGTTGTGGCTGGTTTGATCTTCTATCCAGACCACTAAAACTTTCTCCGTATCAACAACAAGGTTGTTTCACTTCCTTATCATTTATGTGTTCACTGAGTAGAACTTCCAATTTTCTTCAAGAACTTTTCCTTTGCATTCACAACTTGCCTGTTTGGAGCAAAAGGCCTACCTTTTGGCCTGTCTCAGCTTTCAACAAGCCTTCCTCACTAAGCTTAATCACTTCTAGCTTTTGATTTAAAGTGAGAGATGTGACTTGTCCTTTCACTTGAACACTCAGAGGCCGTTGTAGGGTTATTAACTGGCCTAATTTCAATATTGTTGTATCTCAGGGAGTAGGGAGGCCCAAGGAGACAGAGAGAGACGGCTGGTGGGTGGAGCAGTCAGAACACACACATTTTTCAATTACATGCACTGTCTTATATGGGTGTGGCTCATGGCACCCCCAAAACAATTAATAGTAACATCAAAGATCACTGATCACAGATCACCATGAGAAATATACCACTAATGAAAAAGTTCGAAATATTGCAAGAACTACTAAAATGTGACATAGCCATACAAAGTGAGAAAATGCTCTTGGAAAAGTGGGGCCAACTGTCTTGCTCAACACAGGGTTTTCACAAATCTTCAATTTGTAAAAAACACAGTATTGGGCCAGCCGGGTGGCTCAGTTGGTTAGAGCACAAGCTCTGAGCAACAGGGTCGCCGGTTCAATTCCCACATGGGCCAGTGAGCTGCTCCTGAGCTGAGCTGCCACTGAGCTGCCAACAGGCGGTCCCATTGCTCAGCTGGTGAGAGCGCATGCTATTAACAAGAAGGTTGCTGGTTCAACTCCCGCATCTAGATTGAAAGCGGCAACTGGACTTGGAGCTGAGCTTACGCCCTCCACAGCTAAGACTGAAGGACAACAACTTGACTTGGAGCTGATGGGTCCTAGAAAAACACAATGTTCCCCTTCCCCAATTCCCCAACAATGTTCCCTTCCCCAATTCCCAATTGAAAAAAAAAAAAAAAGCTGAGGTCATTGATTAAAAAATACCAAAAAACACAATATTTGTGAAGTGCAATAAAGAAAAGTACAATAAGATGAGATATGCATATATAAGGTTTTATAACGGAAAAGTAAAACTACTTACATTATGAATATACTTTATTTAAAAGATAACATTTTTGACATCAGTTTATCCACCTCCAACAGAATGAACAACAGCAGGGATTTAAGAAAAAATGAACATCGTCTTAAATACATAAGCATTCATGACTCTTATTTTGCCTGTGAATCTCCTAAAGGGGGTGGATGTATCTTTTTTTTTTGGACTTAAACTTAAAACACATCGTATTAACATATTATATAACAATTAAAGAATAAAGTTTTAACAATTAAACAAAAGTTTCTGAATGTTTCTCAGAAATGTGTGGTAATTCATTGGTTAAAAAAGAATGAGGTTAGGGCTGGCCGAGTGGCTCAGTTGGTTAAGAGCTCGCTTAAGAGTTTGAGCTCTGAGCAACAGCGGTTTGGGTCCAGCCCGAGCTGAGCAGCTGCTGAGCTGCCAACAGGTAGCAGGATGGCTCAGCTAAAAACAAAACAAAACAAAACAAAAAACAAACAAACAAAAAAAGAATGAGGTTGTGGGAAATACAAGCATCCAATTATGAAAGTTGGATTAGATGATTTTTAAGATCTTTGGTTATCACAGATCTAATGATTTTAAAATTATGAAACTGGCAAAATTTGCCTATGGAGACAACCATTTTCTCATTTTCTCTTACTTTGCCCAGCCTCATCAGCATCCCATTCTAAAAGATCCAATGGCCACTTGCTGTCTTGTGCCAAAGTCTCATACTGCTCCCTTCTCCTCCTTAAGTAACCCCTGCCATCAGTGTCCTGATTATCACTAGTGTTAGACGAAACAAATAATCCTAGCTCCTTAATGTAAGAATGTAAATAATTGAATGTAAATAATTACGTTGTTGGGGTGGCCCGTTAGTTCAGTTGTTTAGAGCACAGTGCTCATAACACCAAGGTTGCTGGTTCGATCCCCACATAGGCCACTGAGGTGTGCCCTCCACAACTAGACTGAAACAACTACTTGACTTGGAGCTGATGGGTCCTGGAAAAAACACCCTCCACAACTAGACTGAAACAACTACTTGACTTCGAGTTGATGGGCCCTGGAAAAACAGACTGTCCCCCAGTAAAAAAAAAAAAAAAAAAAAAAAAAAAAAAAAAAGACATTGTTAACTTTGTGTCCTCTTGTAAAGGATACCCCCCTTTAAAAGAGATTTGTTTGTCAATTGTGTGTTTGCTAGAACCACAAAGAAATAAGCAAACAAAACTAGTTTTTTAGGTCGGTAGAATTATTTTTCTGTATTTAATTTCCTTAATGTGTTTAATTTTTTTTTAAAGAAAAAATGTAGAAACTGTAAGTAACATATGTAACCAACAAACAGTTTTGAAATAAAATTCTAAGATCCTTTATATGGCTAAAAAAAAAAAGTGGTACTATTGAATTTTTATCACATGCATGTCTCTCTTTTTTTTGTTTTGTATGAGTGTGCGAGGGAGAGTAAAAGCAGAGATTATCTACATTTTTCTGTATTTAAATATATATGCACATTTTATTTAAGAAATCTTTCTAAGTATAAACTTTGCCATTAGCTGAAATGTTGGCTATTTTCAGAAATGTTTGAGAATTATATGCAAAACATTCTCTATTTATTGTATTCTTACCTTTTATTAACAAGCTAATAAATAAAAATTTAGAGCAATAGCAAGTACATCTAGGACAATTTGTAAATTATCCTAATAAAACTATCTCAAATTTGATATACAGCTAAAACATAGCAAGAAAAGAAAATTTTTTTATCACTTTTGCCTTCAAAATTTTCCACGGGGTGGGGAAAGGGAGTGGGGCAGCGATTGGAGGGGAGGGGTTGTTACTTTGAGGGGTAAAAAGTATAACTATTGCACTGTGTTGCAAACCTGAAACTAATTTTTAAAAAAATAAAAATAAATTTTAAAAAATTTTTCCACAAATAACAATAGGCATCAACTTCAACTGAAATACCAGATATTTTTTATCTGAATTTCTGACAAGCTGAAACACAGAAAAAAGTTAGGCAAGTCAATGCTTCAACATTTCCAGAAAAATAAATTAAAACTCTAGTGCTAAAAGAAAATGTGAAATTACTTGAAACTCCACAGAAACAAACAATGCATACCACTTACAACAGACCCCATGTTAAGAAATTTATTTGAATCTTATTTACTCCAAACAACATTGAGGTTGTATTATTATTCCCATTTCATTGATGAGATAATTAGTATTATAATAGTTAGCTATTCTAAAAAATGTATCATTGAGAATCAGGTCACTGATTAATTACTTTGACTGTCTGCCAACTTATTCTTCCAGCTATTGCTAATAGAATTTGTTTCTTTCTCTCACCATTCATGTCAATACCACAGGGATCAAACTGTCCTATGGGTATTTACAAAGGCGGCCTGGTTTAATAACCTAGTTTTATTAGCTCTTAAGAACCAGATTTTATATACTCAAGGGCTTAGTAACTGTATGTGTGCGTGTGTGCAGTACGAGTATAATTCCTTAGTTTTTGGCTCTATGCTTATTATGGATAAGGCTCTGTCTCCTTCATCTGTCATCTGCTAATATTTTGCTTTGTTCTTGAGTGCCCCCTCCCATATCTCATTCTGTAAGCAATTAGTGAGAGCCTGTTAGCACCAGCAGAGCTAGGTGTTACGGAGTGAGAGATTGATAAAGAAAGATTCTTGCTCCCAAGAAATCATGAAAGGGCCATATTCATAATATAAGGTGTTCTTAAAAGCATTTTATAAACTCAATTGTGAGATGCAATTATTTCTCTTTATCAGTCCTAATTGCCTCTTTAGCCCCAACTATAATACAATGAATTAATTTTCCAGGCGTTCTTAAGGTCCTTTCAATTTCCTAGACATACCTGGTCCACATACCCTCACATCTTAATCTCAAACATTTCTCATTTTTAAAATAGCTTCTTCCTCTCTTCCAAATGATAGCTCTTCTAGTCCCAGTATCTTTTCAACTCTCAGGTTATCTTAACCAGGCTTCCAGCACCAACTCTTTATACTTTCTCTAATATCTTATTTTCACCTCCACGTCATAATATATATGCTTTGTGAAGTGTACATCTAAATATATATGTAAGTAAGATCTAAGTTTTAGCTGCTCATTATATTTTTACTATCTCTCCCTCAACTACTTGTTCTATCAATGATATACCATAGTTAAGCACAGTATCTGTGTTTTGCCAATTATATATTATAGCTTTATTTTTTAATATACAGTAGTACCCTAAAATAGTATATTTAAACAATTTTTTCTTGTTCATGAAACAGTTATGTTTAAAAAAACAAACTCTCTAAATGTCCTAACAGTTAAAAAAAAGGTAGAATATTTGTAAATTTAAAAAAAGTACTTATTGATAGCAAAAGCACTAACACTTAAGACAAAACCAAGCCAAACCAAAAATCACTGCCACCGCCACTACCAACAAAAAAAATTTTAAAAAGAAGTTAAAAATTAAAGCCTATTCGATTTAGGCTTTATATAAATTTCAAAGTCAATTAACAAGCAGTCTTACAAATAAATACCTCTAACAAACACTAATATGGAAGAGTTGCTTTCTTCTAAAGTACCAGAAAAACCTCCAAGAAACTAAAGTTATAGAAAGCTACCAATAGAGAAGACTGTGGCACTTTTCAAGAGTTACTGCTTGAACAAAACAATATAAAAATTTATGAAGATTGGAAATATAATGTATCTAGCAAATAACAACCCTCTAAATTAGGTATTCTTTGCATATCAAAAAAATCTTCAGATGAAAACCTTCAAAGATAAAAAATATTTATGTACCATTCTTAGAAATAATTTATTATACAATCCAATGTTTTACTTTCATAAATAAGGGTGGTTGGTAAAAATGTAACCAAAAATATGGAGAAAAACTTATAAAATATTTTAAACATAAAAAAAAACTGAAAATCAGTCAAAGTTATGAATAGTTTTATATATATATATAAAATCACTACATCCCAGGCAACAAATATTTGACAAATGGTAGTGTGAGTGTGGGGGAAGTGTGTGTGTACCTCATGGAAATTGTACACATAAAATTATATACATATTTAGCTATAGCTAGCTAGCTAGATATATAATCTCAGGAGGGAAGATAACTTAAAGTAATTTAAATTATTTTGTTTCACAGCCTGTGGCAGGAGGAAACATTTTGCATTTTAAAGCTGTAAGAAACTATTGAGATTATAGTCAAAAGGCATCATATTATAGAACAGGAAGAGTAAGCCATGACAAATCTAGGGGACAGGATTTAGATGAAACTAGAATATGGAGAAGCAGTGTTTTTGGACCTGATAATAGGAAAAATAATCTCTAAGGTGTATTTGATAAGAAGCAGAACAAGAACTTAAATTCACCTGATTTCTTAGCTCCAATTATATACACAGAATGGCTCAAAAATTACATAAGAAAATCAATATGGATAGGTAAGATCTTGCATGGGGTTTAACTTTTCACATTCCCTGTCTTAGGCCAGACTACAGGTTCAGATCTGTACAAAAAATTACTGGGTAAACACATAATCCTATTCATAAACAGCAGCCAGTGTTAACAGTTGTTTCATTTTCTCTTTTTCTCTTTCTCTCCAAGGCTAATTAGCATTACACACAGTATGTCCCTTGTTACAAATGTCTTCTTTCAGCTTTGGAACTATAGTATCTTTTGATACCCAAAACTCTAATCTAGTTTTTTTTTTTCAGTTATGCAGAAGCCTAACACTATTTGTAACACTTCAGACTACATAAAAGCGCAATTTTGATAAAATAGAAACTATCACAAGTGATGCTATCTACACTTTGTGAATCATGCCTTTAAAGATAAACTGTAAAAGAATACCCTTTTATATACTTACTGTTGAAAGGCTGTCATTGTATTCTCCAAATTTTCTCCAGCACCTGTGAAAACATTAAATTTAAACTTCATTTATTTAGTTACTTTCAACTTTTTATTTTTCCATAAATTCATTTCAATAATATACATTAAGTGAATCTTGATATTTAGATATTATGTAGACATTACAAGTGTTTTAAAGAGTATAATGTTATTTAGAATTGTTTTTTAGCTGCATCAGGAAGGGTCAAATATCAAAAGAGCCACAGCAATACAGGAGGGTTAAAGGAAACTAAACATTATTTTTGAGTTATAATATCTACTGGTCACAGGAAAGACAAAGAGGACTTGGTACATACAAGTATACACCTCCTCAAACAGAGTTAAACCTTCTCTCCTTTGTATTCCCACAGTCTCTTATGCATCTCTCTACTAAGACATTTATCATATTATAGCATAAATTATTTACCTGTTTCTCTCCTTTCCTATGAATTACCTAAAATAAGTGACTGTGTTTTAATCACTTTAACTGAAGACAGTATAGTGTATTTGAGAGTGGGACTCTAGAGCTAGGATCTCTGCTCTAAAATCTGTTTGATGTTTGTGTGACGTATAGAAAGTCACCTGACCTCTGTGTTAGGCTGAGCTTCTTTATCTCTAAGCATAAAGATAATAATGGCACCTACCTCATAGGATTGGTATAATTAAATGAATTATCATGTCAAGTGCCATGTCATCAGTTGGAAAAATGACAGCTTTTCACTTTTTATTTTTATTTATTTATTTATTTATTAGCTGAGCAGCTCAGCTCGGTCCGGGCATCGAACCGCTATTGCTCAGAGCTTGCACTCTTGAGCAAGCTCTTAACCAACAGAGCCACTCGGCCGGCCCTGCTTTTCATGTTTTAGTATCTCTGAAGTTAGGGTGCATTTTACAATGGATGGTAACAGTTTATTGGCAAATTTTCTCTTAGTACATAAAATTTGAGCATCTTATAACTAACTAATGATATTAGATTCAATGAAATAATGAATGTTCAGTAAAAGTAAAGAATTATTATTGCTATTGTCATTATTATGGTAACTTGTGTTTGGTGAACATCTGTTGACTGAAGTCATGACATGCCATATGCCTGGAACATTCTCTTCCCCATAGCTTCTCAATTTTTCTTAAGCTTAATTCCAAAATGAATTCATTGTCAACTCCTTCATGAAAGCACTTTATCATTTCAGATTACAATGATTCTTATTACAACAAAGAGTTCATTAAACTGGCAGTTCCCAATCATTTTGGTGTCAAGATTCTTTTACTGGGTACTTCAAAGACCTTTTGATTATGTGGACTGTATCCATTAATAATTACATTTTAGGAATTTTCTTCTAAAATGTGTTAATTTGAAAATAACAATAAATCCATTTCATGATAACATAACATTTTATGAAAAATTAACTATCTTCCCCAAAAACATTTAGTGAGAAGAGTACCACAGTATTACCTTTTTGCAAATCTCTTTAATGTCTGGTTGCAGGGACTCCCGGGAGCCCACTGACCACATTTTGAGAACCATTATCTTAAATAATTAGTGATAATAAAAGTCATAGGAGTGGTTACCTCTGGGAATGGGGAGGGGAAAACCGAGGAATCTTACATGATTCTAAAAACGGTCTGTATCTTGACCTAAGTGATGGTGACCCGGATGTGTACACATATATTTTTTAATTAAGCTGTACACTTAAGGTTAGTGCTACTACCTGTATGCCATATCTAATTTCTTTAGATCTAAGTCTTAGTATTTTTGTATTCTGGTATATTCAACTAAACCCTAAGAAGGCTTTTTAAAAGAAGGCAACTATTGAGGGTAACATCACCTGACTACCTGTTTCCACCTAGTGAAGGAAAATTCCACTCTAGACCCCAAGAAAGGAAAAGAATGAAAGGAACACTTTTTTAAAAAATTGCACTTAGCCTTATTGTGCTTCACAGATGTTGTAAGGAACACTTTTAACCCCCTTTTTTTTTTTTTTTAGCTGAGCCATCCTGCCACCTGTTGGCAGCTCAGCGGCAGCTCAGCTCAGGCAGGGAATAGAACCGGCAACCCTGTTGCTCAGAGCTCGCACTCTTGAGCGAGCTCTTAACCATCTGAGCCACTCGGCCGGCCCCCAAACCCTTCTTTACTCTCTCATATACTCATCCCCATGGGAGAAGTGACTTAGGAGAAAGGGCTGTTTGTCCACCTCTTACTTTACAGTGGCCCAACCTCAGAAGGAACAAAATTTCTGCTCATCTATACAAAAGGTTTGCCAGGGCAGGCCCTGTCAATGTAAGGAAAAGGCCTCCAGTTTTAGTGTAAAGTTCAATTTAGAGCAGGCATAACAGAGTCCAACTTCAGCTCTATTAGTAATAAAGTTAATATTTTCACTTCCATCTTTCTGATGCCAGCATTTTATGTCTAAATTAGTTCCAAACTTGCAAAGGGAAAGTAAGCAGTGTTATTTATTAGGCTTTTCAAATTCCAAAAGCAAGGGATTGGTAATATACATCTTTTAGAATATTCCACAAAATACTCTCAACAAATATCTATTTATTTCTTTATTTAAAGATTTTATTGGGGAATTGAAGGAGGGGAACAGCATTGGGAAATCAGGGAAGGGGAACAGACAAGTTGCTGTCCTTTTCTTCTTCAGTCTAGTTGTGGAGGCTGTCGCTTTACTGGCCCATGTTGGTATTATCATGTGCTCTCCCAGGGTGAGGCAGTTGCTCGCCAGCCATTGGACGGCGGCTCACAGCAGCTCTCGAAAGCGCATGACGGCTGCCTGCCAGTCCCACTGCAGCCTACGCTGCGGCCGGCGACTCATGGCAGCCCAGCTCCAGGTTGAGCTGTTGTTCACCATCTTAGCTGTAGAGGGCGCAGCGTCACTGGCCCTCATGTGGGATCCGAACCGGGGCCCTGCTGCTCAGAGCTGGCATCCCAAGCCAACTCCTAACCAACGCGCCACTCGGCCGGCCCAACAAATATTTATTATATTTGAAATAATATGATATCTGAAATTTGTTTCAAAATAATCTGAGAAGAATTGGCAAGGATACTGATGAAACAAGATTGGGCATGAGTTGATAACTGTACCTGGGTGATGGGTTCTTAAAGTTTTACTACTTTTGTATTTGTTTAAAATGTGCCATCATAAAGAGTTCAAAAGATACTTATTGATCTTTTGGTTTGGGAGAAAGGAGTTAGGAAAAAGGTAGAATACAGAATTGGTATTCTGAAATAAATTTCCCTACAATTAATATAATTTTTACTACTAATATTTAAATTCAAAGTCTGTTTGTCTTTTATGTCTGCTTTCCATATTAATTTTAATTTTAACTCATTTAAACCTAACAGCTTAAGTATACGAACATTACTTAAGATCTTGCATCTACTTTATGTTTATGAAATTACATAGCTAGAACTAAATAAAATATTGAAAAGGTGGTCAAGACATTAATAATTTACAGAAGCTAGATACTGTACTTAGTACTTTATATATTTCATTAAAAACCCCACAACCATGGTAAGTATTACTATCTCCAGAAAGAAAAAGTTTTAGTTTTACTAGTGAGTTACTCACATTGGTCCTTATTCCCATATCCTTGTATTTGTCTGTAAAGCTTGGTGATAAATTCCACAATGATAATACTCCCAAATTACTTGTTAGATTCATATGGTGAAAACCTGGAGAGTCACTAAGGGACTAATTAAGAAGTACGCCACTCCTCCCCAGGGAATTATTTGGTGTTAGCTCTTCTATTGTGAAATGGTTTAAATTCCCTTTCTTTCCAAGTATCATCACATCATTCATAGGAGCACACTTGTCATAAACTTTTCTTTTCCCTCAAAAAGCAGCTTAAACAATGCCTGGCTTTTCAAATAACCATTCTACATATAAATAAAAGTTTAATTTTAATTAGTTATGAAGTTAATTATGAAATATGGAAGAGAATGAGTATCACAGATTTTGCATGCTGTTCTAATACAATTATCCAGAATTCCTTTATGTCTTTCTGCTTCCCTCTTCGCCAGTTCCTATTTTTCACTTGAGAAAACTTTCACTGAAAATTCCCAATTCACTTTATTTATAGCTTTGACATATACTTCCCAATTTTTCATTCAATACTAACTTTACCTCTCATATAGTGCTTCATAACTACTTTGTGATTGGTGAATTTTTGATCGGATGGGAAAAGTAAAGGAGACATTCTTTTGTATTTTTAATTAGATTTAAATGCTGTGAAAGAAACATCTGTTCAGTTCTTTTTACCTCCCAAATGTTTATATACCTATAAACATTCAATAAACATGGCAAACTTGTTTTACAGTTATGCTGAAACCACCACTATCATTTACATCTTTGTATACATGATTATATGTGTATATATGTGTGGGATGTCTATAAACCAAGTGAAAAATGTGACAATGTGTATCAGCCACAAGAAAACAACCCTCAAAATTAAATATCTGCTGATACTGGAAAAGACAGTTTAATGCAAATAAAACATATCTTAATGTTTAAAGATATAATCTTATCTCAATTCAAAATTGAGTTATTCAGTGAATCAAGCAACAAAGTAAGCCCCTCTTCATTTCTGAATTCATTTGTTCATTCAACATTTATAATGTGTCCTGGAAGCAGTATATATGATTTATATAAGGGCATAAAGAGTTTGTAAGGATTAGAGATGGTATATACAAAAGAGCATTTCTCATTACGGGTTCCCTGGAATACTGCAGAAATGTTTCTATATTTCAAGGGAAAAACACTTTATATTTGCATACATAAGAATAAAATTAAACACATCAATAGCACAGAAGCACAGAAAGATGATATTCATCTTTTGTATTTTGATACACAGGCTGCATTTACCAATTAACCACATGTATGCTCTCTTCAATGATAAATGGTTATTGTTATGTATCTTGTCATAATTTCAATAATTTTTCTACAATGGTATTTAATTTTTCTAAATTTGTATACAGTTTAAGAGAGATGTATGTATAGATGTGTATGTGTATGTATATGTGTATATATGTATAGACATACATATACATATATTTTGCTTGATTTACTGAATAACATACATGTGTATAGATCTATAGATACACAGATCTATATATAATCTCCATTGCTAAAAATAAAGTACATTTGAGTTTGTTTTAAGTAGGAAAGTACTATTAAATAAATGATAAATGACTGCATTGCTCATAAGGTATCAGTAGGAATGAGCAAGACAAGTGAGGAAGAGTTCCCTGAAAACTGGGATGAGGGAACAAGAGCTCAAAAGAAAGAATCCATCCATAGCCTGATGCAGAACACGTATCAGGGTGCAACTGCAGAATGCTACTACTTCCTGTGACACCGTGAGACATACTGATACCTCAATTTTTTCCCTGAACAACCAATTAAAGTTTAGGACCCAGAGACAACCAGTGTTCAAGAGCGATCTTGACCCTCAAACTTATCACCTATCAAATCAATCTGGTGGCAGGATGTGCAGATTGTGACTGTACTCTGCCTTGATTCCAAGGGTGAAAGATTAGGAGGGAAGGTTACGATTTGATCAGTTGGCGATTTTTAAAAAATTCTTTGGCCACTAAATCCTAATAAATAGACCTCTTTTTAAAAAGCCGACCACTTAATTCAACTGGCCCCTAGAGACAGGTTAGGGAGTATTCAAGTAAGTTATTCCCCTGCTATCCTATCTCTAGCTAACTCAGTGATTACCTGAAATAAATGTATACACAGTATAACTCCAAATGTAGGACAATATGTACTCAAAGACTATACATCAAAATGTTAACAGAGATTATGTTCAGAGAGTAAAGTTTAAGAACTATTTTTTCATTTCTCAATTTCACATTTTCCAAATTTTCTACAATGAACATGAGTTACTTATGCAATTGGAAAAAATACTAATAAAACTCATAATTTCATAGAGAAACTAAGAAAATGTCCTTTGGGAGTGTTACTTGCTCTCCATTTAATTCAAAGGGTATATATCTTTGGTCCTATTGGTGTTTCATCAACACATTGTAGTTATAAAAAGTATTGTTGGTCAAATAAATTTGGGAAACACACGGAAAGTATCCAGCAGGCAGTAGATAATTAGCAGACAATCAACTATAATTTCATTATATCGTAGTATCTGTATGAGAGGCTAGAGATGCATGAACTAATAAAATCTAAAACCTGGCCTTGAGGAACTCAGTCTAGTAATGGAAGCAGGTGTATCCCTATATCCTATTACAATATTATGCAATACAATGTATGTTATAAAGAGGCTAAGAACAAAGCAAGCATACAGCATCTAATTTTTGAAACAGTATTTTCCTCTTTCAAGGACAATCAATCTTAGAAAAGGCAAAAGTGTTCACTAAAACTTTGAAAACTTAAGTATTAAGGTGATCTCATCCTTCTCAATCAATTCAAAGTTCTATTGCAAAATACAAATGTGGATCCCCTGTATCCATACTTACATGCATATTTCCAAACAATTTTACAATTTTCAAAATGCTTTTTATACACCTAATCCTCCTAACAACCCAAAGAAACGCAAGGTAAACGTTCTCCATGTATGGATAAGGAAATTCAGGCTTATTCCCAAGGCTAACTAGTGGTAAGTCCAGAAACTGACTCGGACTTCCTTTTACAGCAGACATAATATAGTACACATTAAGAGTTTCAAGTTATAGCAATTCAGGTGTATATACCTGAAACACATATAACGACCAAAGTTGCAATCTTGGAACGGTCATACATCTGGTTTACATGAAATATCGGTATTTGCAGTTAGAGCGATAGGAAATTAACCCAAGTGTTAGTGATATGCATAGAGACTAGTGATAGTTATTGGTGTCCAAGAAAAAAATTAACAGCAAGCAAGGAGGTGACTCCTTCCTAGTCTATTATTTTCCAGAAACTTAGTATCTTGAGTTACAGTGTTTTTTAATAAACATCTCCTTTATCATTCTGGATGTCTCAACTGTATTATTAGGTGCACACACTCAACAAAAGTGTATTAAGCACTAACACACAGAAACTTACTATAGTGCTTTAGGCCATCATAACCAGTAAGTAGATTTTGAGTCTGCAGGTATTTAACAAGATTACTTCTCCTAAAATGAAATTTAGATCATCCATAATGATAGTTTAGATAGTTTTTGTTTTAGAAGATCTTGTTTTGGTTTGGTTTGGGTTTTCAAAAGCACACTTTTCTTTTTTTAAATCAGTAAACATAACTGCAGTGTGTACTGCTTATCTTCAGGATAGGGCTACCACCATTGAAAGTTGCTTCTACAGCAACAGCTTAAACACCAAAAGTTGGTTTTTGGCTACAATGGTTGAAGGCTCATTAGTAGTCAAATGTCATCCTACAGTTTATCTATGTATCTATTAATATATGGATAAACTAAATAAGAAATAACATGGCATTTAGCTGGTGACTCCTCAAACCCTTTAATGCTTTTCATGAGTTGGAGACTAGCATAATCACTGAAGTCACTCTTAAGTACTATGTTTAACTGATATAATTATACATATTATATAGAAGAATGCTAATGTATTTCTGTGATATTTCAAACCTTATTACTGGTCAATTCTTTTTAGAAAAGGAGTTATGGTACCAAATCAAGCATTAGACTGTAAATTTCAAGCACTCTTAACCTAGTTTAACATGCGCCTCTAAAGAAGAGTTAAAATTGATTGAAATTATCCAATTGCACAACATTTTACACATCATGCTTGAAATGAAATAGACACTTATTACTCAGTAATGAAGAGGCAAAGATTTGGCCTGCTGTCTGGGAAATTAGAGTGGACTATCTAGGCTCCTTTTAGTAAGACCTTTTCCCAGAAGAAACTTCTTCGTTTTTCTTTAAACAATACTACCCTGCCACAAACTAAATCATCTGTTTGTTTTGACACGGAAATCCCCAGGTCATTGCTGGGGTGCACGATGGGACTAAAAAAAAAACCCCCCAAAAAAACAGGTGCAAGGTTTGCAGCCTTGGGAAACCAGGATGCTCCAGTTTCTGCCCCAGTCCAGCCCAAGCTCTAATTGTGACCTTGGGAAGTGTATCCGGCTCAGGCACTCAGTTTCCCTCTCTTCTAAACTGTCCTGATCAGAGTGGGGGGTTGGGCTGAGACTGGCCCCCAGGGACTGCAGGCAGCTGGGCTGCAGCACGTTCCAGGTTCACGCAGTTCCCCAGCCCTGGAACATCGCCGCCCAGGATCCTCCCAATAAGCTCAACGACTGGCTCGCTGGGAGCAGTCTGTTCTCGGTTACCCTGGCGAGGTACCCCCGGCTCTGTCTGGCACTCTCCTCCCCTTGTGCCTCGCTGCTAGGCAGGGACCTTGCGATCACCCTTCCGTCCGCCGAGAAACGCTCCATCTACCCTTAATTCTCACCCTGGTCCTTCTTCCTCCTGAGAATCCCCGACACCGCTGAACTCCAGAGATCCTCACCTTGGCTGCCAAAGACCCCTTCTCATTTCCGTAGGAGACCTCACCTTCACATCGTCTTCATCTCGGGGGAGCCCCCTAATCACACATCTCCACTACCCCCAAACTCTCACGTATTTCCACCCGCCAGCCTTTTGCGGAGCTCCAAAGGACCCAAATAAATAAATTAATAAATAAATGAATTAATTAAATAAAGCCTCCCCCATCTCCGCCATTGGGTTCTAGTAACCCCTCTCACCTCCGCGGTGAGAGATGTGTTTACTGAGGAATCGCTGCTTCTTTCTCTGGTGCAGCAAAGTCGGGTATTTGAGCAACAGGAATGAGGTCACCAAGTACCCTCCCAGGGTGGAGAGAAGGTAAAAAGCCGCAGTGGACGACATCTCAGCCACCGTATGGGAAAGTCTCCCACCTCCGGGCCCTCTAAACTCCGCAGCGGCGCTCGCAACGGCTGCAGCGGCGGCGGCTGCTCCAAGTCTGCTCGCCCCCAGCCGGTGCCGGCGGTGCAGCGCACTTGTTCGCGCCTGCCCACCACGCAGGCGCAGCCGGACCCTGGCGCCCCGGCAACAAAAGAGCCCCCGCACGCAGGCGCGCTGCGGCTGCCGGATAGGAGCCTTGCGGAGGGCCAATAATAAGCTTTTGTCACCTGGCTTTGTGGATTCGCAGCGCTTGGAAGAAGCTCCCAGCTGAGGCGAAAGCTTGGAAACCTGCCAGTGCCTTCGCCACCACTTGAGCCGAAACGGCTATTCAAGGACTGCCTTCAGGATGGTCTGACATAATTAGAAAGTTCACATCAGAACGAAAAGATTCCTGCGCAGAGTCTTAGCCCCCCACTCTAGGAAGTGCAAACCTGTAACGGAGTTAGAGCTTGCTAAAACATATAATAAAGGCATCATTCATCTGTCTAGCCAAGAGATAACGTTCCCTATTTGTCACACATAACCATAAGGTACTAGTTTATCCGTCAGATATTTGAGTGACGGACTCCTCTCTCATTTCATTGTTAAAATACAATCCTCAGGCCCTGTACACGAGAGCAATCAAAAAATATATGTGGACTTAAAATCCATTTGAAATAAGGAAACATTGACAAAGCTACAGGTTATCACTTAAAAGCATTAGGAAGACAGCAAAATAAATTCCGGAAGGCCCAGCTAGTTTTCCTTTCATCCCGCAGTATCCAAACTTCTAAAACTGCTGAGAGCCACATTTTAAATGCAAAAGAATTAACCCTGGGCAGAGGGAGAAAATTTGGCAAGAGCTTGTCTCCCACAAAAGTAGAATGCAGAGTGATTATTTAAAATTTTGTGGTTCTTGACTCTGGCCTTAAATTACTCTTTATTTCTTTATCTGTGAGGAAATTTTTACTAAATGATAAACTTCAACTCTCACATTCTGTTAACGATTTTGGGCCCCCAAATTTTAGCTTCCTTTAAGAGGAGTAAATAAAATTTAGAAGATTCTTGAGAACAGGGGCCTTCATTAGATTTTAAAAAGTAGCTGGGAAAGATTTTTGCATCAGTTTACCATCAGTAGTAGTCTACTTCTTGATCTAACACCAAAAATACCCAAAGAAATGGTAAAGCTTTGTAGAAGAAAAAAATTAAATCTAAAAGCTTATACATACAACTATAGGGGGTCTTACTATTCTTGAACTAAGAGGGAAAGGGGAATGTTTTCCTATCCCTGACACAACCAAACTTTTAAAATTAAAACATTTTGAGGAAACACAAGCTGAAAAATATTGCCTTGTTCTGTTTAGGGCTCTCAAATTGTTTTATAGGTCAGCTGATACACATGGTCCCATTTTCCTTTTCCAAAATTTCACCTGATAGCAACTTTTTAAATTTTATGACTATTATTTATGATGAGTACAAACACATGTATATGATAAATATTACCTGAAAAAAAATCTAGGTAACTAAGAATATTGACCCTTCAAATACAGAAGCACCAATGGCTTAGCAAATAGAGCTCTGAGCTTCGAATTCATAGACATAGCTATACTATTTACAAGCTGAATGACTTTGGACATATCACTTAGTTTAAGCCTTAGTTACCACATCTGTAAAATGGGGATAATAGTATCGAAACTCATAAGGGTATTTTGAGGATCTAATGAAGTAAAATGAAAGTATTATGTATTCTACATAAGTAACCATTATGTTAGAAAATAGAATTGTTTCTTTCTCTATTAACAAATTTACAAACAGTGTACAGAATTATTCAAAATAAGTAACCAAGCAGAAGCTTATACATATATACCTTATTGGAGGCCCAAGAAAATTAACACCAATGAAAGCACAGGCAAGCTATAATAGTAAAACAGCATCTTTTTTTTTTTGGACCGGCCAAGTGGCGTGTTAGTTAACAACTGGCTTGGGATGCCAGAGGGCCCCGGCTCGGATCCCACATATGAGGTCCAGTGACACTGCCCTCTACAGCTAAGATGCTGAACAACAGCTCAACCTGGAGCTGGACTGCTGTGGGTTGCTGGCGACAGGTAGGCTGCAGCCCCTGTGGCAGTGGGTTGCCATAAGCTACCGTGTGTAGCCGGCAGCCAGCATGAGCGGGCAGCAGCCGCTGTGAGCAGCCGTCCAGAAGCCGGTGACTGATCTGCCTCGCCCGGGAAGAGCACAATGATGGTGCCAGCTTGGGCTAGTGAAGCAACATCCTCCACAACTAGACTGAAGAACAAAACAACAGCAACTTGTCTGTTCCCCTTCCCCAGATTCCCCAGCGCTGTTCCCCTTCCCCCAATTCCCCAATAAAATCTTTAAAAAAAAAACAACAGCATCTTTTTAAAAATGGTATCAATATGACCAGAGATGTCTTCCAAAATGAAGGAAGTCGTATTATGAGGAAAATTTACAAGAGGCTCCAAAGTTAATAAGACATTATCTAAAGCAAGAAGAGAAATTAGTATAAGCATTCAATTATCATGGGGGGGGGGGAATGTTGAAAAAGAAAGGGTGTCAGAAATCACTGGTCTAATTGTTTCATTGTAAAGAGAAAACTGATGTCTGGAGGGGTGACGTAGTTTGCTCAAGACTATACAACTAGTGGCTAATGTTATAACAAAGTCACCAATCTTAATTCAGTTCAAGGGCTTGGAGAAGATAGTATTGATTTTCTGAACAATACAAGATTTGAAAAAAATAGTCTTGCTCTTTATAGAAGAGAGCATTATGGAAATTCCCATTTAAAAACTGTCCTTTGACATGTATCAGAAATAGCAGAGTCAGGGTGCAGTACTGTGAAAAGAACACTGAATTCTAGTCCAATGATTCCTTAATTTGTCGTTTCAACTCCATCTACAATTGCATTGCCCCAAATTTATTAGTGCTCTAGATAGCAGATGCAGTCGACTAGGAACATATATCATTGGGACAAGAAGGCATTTACCCAAGAGTTCTGAAGAAATCCACAAATTAAATTGTGATACTATTCAAAAAAAGAAAATTGCTGTAGTGCACAGCTAGTATGTTGATAGCTTGGCAGACTGCCATCAGGATTCCCAACTATGACAATGGGAATCCGATAGGTTAGAGCATGGTTCAACTTTCTGTAAGGCAACTTAAAAATATGTATCAAAATGTAAAATGTGTGTATTCCTTGACTCATTAATCCCAAATATGAGTTTATTCTGCATAGAAAATTTCACAAGTATTAATAAAAATATATGAACCATGGTGTTTCACCTTTGTTTGCAGGAGCCCTAAATTGGAAAGAACACAGATATCAAACAATAAAGGTCAGATTATGTAAATCATGACTAAGGAAAAACAATGCAGCCATTAATAATAGACTAATTTATTGACAATATTGACAGGGAAAATGTGTACCGTATATTGCTGAGTGATGAAAAGGAGATACAGAACAAGATAGATTCTATGATTGCAATTACATAAAATTGAATACATATCTACTTAAGCATGTATGCATACAGATGTCTAGAAGGATGTCTACTAAAATGTTGCAAGTGTGTAGCAAAGCACTAGCAGAGCAGTGGAATTTCAGGAAACTTACTATTCTTTGTTTTAAAAAAATTCTTAAACAATATCAGATATAATGACTACAAGTTAGTTTTACAAAAACAACAAAGGTATGTTCAAAAACAAAAACAATGTTTTAAATGAGGTTATAAACTAGGTAGCCTTACATTTATATTGAGAAAACAGCTAAGATAAATATAGAATAAAAATCATTAGATGCTGAAGTACATATAATTAAGCAGGAGAAAGGAAGTATGAGATCTGACAATTCAGTTCGTGAACTCATCCTAGAAAAAGCGCTACCTACATACCTCATTGCTGAATATCACTATGGTCACCTTCGAAGTACTCGCCTTGGGAAGCTCTTCACCAATGCCAGAATCTAGTCCACCCTTCAAAGCAATTTTGGAACTCTTTTTCTGGAATGGCCATCAGAGCTATCGTTGTATTACCCTTGATGTCCTGAATGTCATCAAAATGTCTTCGTTTCAATATTCCCTTTATCTTTGGGTAAAGAAAGAAGTCATTGGGGGCCAGATCATGTGAGTAGGGGGGGTGTTCCAATACAGTTATTTGTTTACTGCCTAAAAACTCCCTCACAGACAGTGCCGTGTGAGCTGGTGCATTGTCGTGATGCAAGAGCCATAAATTGTTGGCAAAAAGTTCAGGTCATCTAACTTTTTCACACAGCCTTTTCAGCACTTCGAAATAGTAAACCTGGTTAACTGTTTGTCCAGTTGGTACAAATTCATAATGAGTAATCCCTCTGATATCAAAAAAGGTTAGCAACATCGTTACAAGTTAGCGAACTTAATTGTCAGACCTCGTATAATGAATTGATGTAATATAATCCTCTAAAAATTTTTGGAATAAAAAGGAACCAGGGAAATAGTTTACACTAGAAAATTTTCTTATACCTATTCATATATAAAATTATTTTTATTGCTATACCTATGGGTGGGATTTTCAGTATGAAAGGTTTTGGGAAAATATTTAAATTGTATTTAGAAGATGATTGGATCTAAGCTATCAGTTACAAACAAACAAATCATAATTATCCCTTATATTTATAAAAAAATTTAGTTTGTAAAGGACTCCAATTAACACGATCTTTACATGTTTGAATCACAATTATCCTTTGAGGTAGACAAAGGAGTTAATATCCCCATTTTACTAATCAATAAGCCAAAGTTTTAGATAGGATCCAATGTTAGGAGTGCACTAAACTATTTCCTCAAGACACCAAACCAATGAGCTGCTGTGCCAACTTAGGCCAATAAACATTAAGAGTATGGAAAATTAAACATATTAGATGGTTGCTGGACTTACGGTGATCACTTCTTTAGTGTTGAATAACTATTGTGTACACCTGAAACTAATGTAACATTGTATTGTATGTTAGCTATATTTTAATAAATATCTTTAAAAAAGAAAATCAAACATAAACTATTAGCTGGCCTTTGTGGAAAATTATGCAGCATTACAAAAACAGTGCAGTTTTATATGCCACATCTTAGGATAGGTACAA